TCAGGATCTCCGCGTCTGCTTCGACTTCTCTCTGTTCTGTGTATTTTTAGCTTTAAATATCTTAATGAGGAGCAAAGATTTTGTTAAGCGTACTACTTGCTTTAAAAGAAATGAAGCTATACAAATTTTCTTTTTATTGAGACAAGCCCCTGGCTCGGGAGAATTGGGCAACCACTAGCTTCCTGCAGATTCGAAGTAAAATAAATTACCTCTACCTTTTTTTAACTCTAGATGGTGAGAGGGATTAAAAGAACAAAATAATAAGAAATTTTGTTGGTTGTTACTTTTCTCTATTTTTTCTGTGCTCTGCCTTTAATTTTCATTTGCTTCTTTCTTCTATCATAAGTAAAACGTTCCCAACCACTACTTTGCAACGCTGATAACATGAACTGAACCGCCTATTTTTAGGGTTCAAGCCCTAAAAGAGCGGCTTCTGCAATCATGTCTTAACGTAGAACTTACCAAGAACTGTTAGTCTCAAGTCAGTTGAATCATCGCTGTCGCCTCCAGCAGTAGTATGGGCTATTTGCAGATAGTACAAACGCTCATCCGTCGATCGGTTTAGGTTTTTCAATGTAAACACCGATGTCAGTAGAGTACCAGTGAGAGAAACAGTTAGATTTAGATCCGCATCTCGGCTGGCATATTCAGGATAAAGGTACCTTCCTGTTGTCTTTATTTCCTTTATGATATCATGTTTTGTGTCAGCTTGGTTTGTTCGTTGGTACACTTTAACAAAGGTCCATGTTTCACCTACACCTAGATTAGCAGTCCAAGTCATGCTGACGGTTTGGCCTTGAATCCCGGTAGCCGAGGCTGGTTGACTCCTCCAAGTGAGTCCTTCTGTAAATATATAGATTAATTGAGTAAGCAGCAAATAAAAAATGTTACCATAACTATGTGATTTTAAAATATTTCGATTACTATATAAACATAAATCTAAAATCCTTGTAGGTATAGGTGTATAAGATATGGAAATCTGAATTGGTGGTTTAGTCCCCAAACTGAACAGCATATTGGATCAATGTAGATATTGGTCACTTTTTTANCACTTGAGATATGTTCAAGCCGGGTTTCTTGGTAGTACACACGATGCGACATCTTACAGGCTGATGACCCGCATTGGACCAGGACAGCCTCTGGACCTACCACAAGGTGCAAAACGTCTAGCGGACAAGGCTTATCCTGATGGTGGACCATTGCTAACGGCCGTAAAAGCAAATCAAATGCATTTGCTGAACCCCAGAGAAAGAAGGCGGGCAAGGCGCTTTAACAAGTGTCTGTCACGACGACCAATCAAGGTGGAGCATGTATTTAAAGAAATAAAAGTGTACAAAGCCATATCACAGTTATGGAGACATCCTAGATGGCTTCTTCCAGTATGTGCGGAGCTTGCGTCATTTCTTGCTGAACGTCGAGTACGCTTATTTGAACATTTATAACTAACTAAAAAGATATTTCTGTGTACAGCAAATTTCCAGGCTAGGTTAGTCCACTCATTTGTATTTTTTCAGATACAAACGTTGATGTTGAATAAAAAAAATAAAATCTTCTAACACTTGTTGAGTTTTTAATAAATTTAGAACGTTGAGTTCGTTTACATTCCTGGAAATTAAGACAAGTTCACAGAAAGTGCAATAAGACTAGCATTTTAAGGTTAAAACTTCTTCACGCAGATTATTTCGGTATAATTTAGCTGGCAGTACGGTACGTAGATCATTAGCATATTAGCAAACTCATTAGAATTTTTAACCCCGGTTGTTGGAAAACGTTCTATTTAATTGATCACGTAGTCTCGTACTGAAACCTTTGTGCGTGATAGGTGAAGCACATCTCGAGATGTATTAAAAGTTGGAATCAGATAAAAATAAGTGGTGAATTAATTGTAATAATGTCTGCAAATGGTTACACCTTCCAGTCTTCTTGGATAAGGACTTTAAACTATAGGCCTGTCTCCCAACCCTTCCTAACCTGCAGTAAAAATTGGAGACATAAAACAACCTGTTGAATTGTTCGTGTAAGAGTAGGGGATTGTCTCCCGGTTCAACAGCCTATCCCAATCTGGAGGCATAATACTACCGTACTAACAAATCACTTATGATTGTAAGCAGCACTGCTTTGATAGCGCCTTAATATGCAGGCACTGGTCATAATAATAATAATAATTTTATTTGTTAGAGCAGGCTGACTATTCTGGCAGCTTTCGCTTACGTGGTCCTGCTCTCACTCACACTCACTACCACTACATTGAGTATTATGCAGACAACGCTCAACTTGATTTTTACGGAGAGAGGAAACCGGAGAACCCGGAGAAAACACTCATAGCATAGGAGAGAACAACACATCAAACAAACTCAATTCACCTCTGACTGCCGCAGGGCTCGAACCTGCGACCCGATCTGTTGGACGAAAGTTTTAAAAGACGACGCATTAGCACTGAGCGTTCGCCACCCATGTCACCCACAATAAAATAATAATAATAGTAATAATAATAATAATAATAATAATAATAATAATAACTTTATTTACGTGTCGAAATTTTATAGTTTACAATAAATTGTGAACTAATAGAGGACACCCATCTTCCGATCTTCCTATCTATAAATTATAAAACTCCCTCCCATCCCATCTACCCTTCATATGTAATTTGTTTTTAAAAAAAA